TATATATATATATATATATATATATATATATATATACAGAGTTGGACAAAATAAAGTAAACACCTGGGAAATAGGCAATATTTCTTTATTAAGTTGTTTTACCACCTTTTGCTTTTAAAATTTTGCCACACCTGCCAATGGCCAGTGACTTTAAAATTTACCAGCCATATTTTTTTTTTACTGGGCATGAAACTCTATGTGCATTATTAAAAAAAATAATAGGCAGAACAAATTGGGGAAACACATCTAATTGTATTTTTTTATTTTTTATTATTATGATTTTTTATTTTTTTTTAGTAGTAGTAGTAGTAGTAAGTAGTATTTAATCAAATGATAGAAATTAAATAATTAAAAAATATCACTGCAATACAATTGAACTGTAAAGTATTTCATAATACTTTTAATTTGTATAATATTAGTTATAATAATTTTATATAACAACAGTAAATTTACAATACAAATATTTATGGTTGTTGTTTTTCTTTGCTTTCAATCATTAAACCATAGAGCTTTTATTTTGGAGGAAAACCAGAGGGAAACTTCTATTTTGAAATGTTTCTCTTTGTTGACAACATTTATAAATGCTTCTTATTACAATTCTGGAAAGATGTTCATTTTCAAATGCACATTATAAGCGACTCGCAGAGCTGGAGTTCATGTGGAGCTGCATTTAACACTTTAACAAAATGTAACAAAAAATTGCGGTGTTTGGGTAAAAGACACAAGTTGAAAAGAAACTAGAGTTTTCCCCCATCCTAAATGACTCACAAGAACAATCACGACTAAAGCAACTTTGATTCTTGTCAGGGTGTCGTTATTCAGGTCTGATGTGTTCTTTCCTCTTTCAGAAGAATGACGGCCGCTTCACCGTTATTCAGCTGGTGGGCATCCTGAGAGGGATCGCGTCCGGAATGAAGTATCTATCCGACATGAGTTACGTTCACAGGGATCTGGCAGCACGGAACATCCTAGTGAACAGCAACCTAGTGTGCAAAGTCTCCGATTTTGGGATGTCCAGAGTGCTTGAAGACGAGCCAGAAGGAGCGTATACTACCAGGGTAAGAGTGTGTCTATGTTTTTACATTAATTCATACACAATTTTACATTCATATTATCATAAATACAATCAAGTAATTAATATTTCAGACATATTATGGCTAGTTCATTTATTTTTGCTCCACCAATGAAACAGAACAGTTCAATGT